GCAATTTTCATGGATCTGGCAAAAGCCTTTTTTTAATAGTTTTAAATTTTGGGTAAAAGCCTATTGTGTAGACAGAGTTTTACACAATAGACTTTTACCCAAAATTTAAAACAATTGAATCAAAGAGCAGTTTTACGTCTGGATTGAAGCATGGCTCTCAGGAAGGCAGCAGAGAGTCGTAATTGGAGAGCGTACATCAAATTGGAAAAATGTTATTAGCGGCGTACTACAAGGTTAAGTCTTAAGTTCATTACTGTTTGTTCTGTACAGTGATGATCTTTCAGACAAATTGAAACATCAGATTAAGTTCTACGCTGATGACAGCAAAAATATTATTTAATTATTGGCGTCATAAAATTCATCCGGGACGCGAAGAGTCTGCAAGCAGACTTAGACAAAGCCATTGAATGGTCACATTGCTGGCTCACGGCCTTTAATACTGAAAAGTGAAAAATCATGCATATTGAACAAGGAAAAAAAGTATTAAAACGAGTCTATTTCATGCCAGGACCAGACTGCCTGCTACTTGTAATCGGATTTACTCATTTAGAGAGAGATCTTGGGGTTGTTATCTTGAATGATCTTAAATTTAATGCTCAAGTTTTCAATGTAGTGAACGCAAAGCACTGTGGAAAGAACTGTGTGCAAAGAACTGTACACCACGTATATTCGTCATTACCTCGAGTACGCTATTCAAGCGTGGTCAACGTACCAACAGGCAAACAAAAAGCGCTAAAAAAAAGTTCAAAACCGTGCTTCAAAAACCATTTATGAGATTAAATATCGCACCACCGACAGCAAAGAGTCATGTTAGGTCTTACGTCACTTGAAAAAAAGAAGAAAAAGAGGTGATTTAAATCTGACGTTCAAGTTCATGTGTGAATTCTATGAAATAAACTTTCACGTACCATTCAATCTTAGCTTTTTCTTTGCCATTTTCCAAAATTAGATTGAAAAGGTCTGCAGTGCGTTGTGTGATAAAAGAAAAAAATCAAATGTGGCATCATTTCTTTTGAAAGATTTTTGCCTTGGCTGCTGTTTTTGTTTGTTTGTCATGTCTTTCTTGGTGTTGCTGTTGACATGGAATCTAAAAAATCCAACTCTATTAAATATTCAGACAATTACGAGTAATTGCAACAAAAAACCTTTGCTGTAGCAGTTGCAATTGTACAATTTGGATATTCTTGAGTTCGTGAGTCGAAGAAGCTTGTCATCATTGAATGGTGCTCATTCAGCTAACATAGCTTTATTCCAAAAAATAAACTTGTTTATTCCCTGTAGATAGCAGGTCTTTGTTGATTACTGGCCATTGTTTCTGAAAACGGATAAAAAGTCAAACTTGAGGTCCTCCACTAGTTCCAAATGCAGTTGTGGAAAAATGGTTCAAAGCATGACTTCAAACACATGTGTTCTTTAAAATAGAGTCAAAAAACAGTCCTCAAACTCCTTCTTTTCCAATCTTCAAGAGCTTTCATACAAGCATTAGCCTATTGCACACCCGTACCTCGACCAATCTTAGGAACAAGCAGTTTTTCCATCCCTTCACCAGTCATAAAGAAGTAACTCTATTTACTTTTTGTTAACCACCGGTGATATTAAGTAAAAGCTTTTCATCCCAATGCAAAAGAAGCGAATTATTAGAAGAGAAATTGTCAACCGTAGTCATTGCTTTACGAACCTTTCGACTTGTTCTGCGGATTGTGCTGTACAACAATGATAAATCTTTAAATCAGTGATTAAGAGCCTGACCCACTGTTCTAACCACGAAAAGTACACGGCGATAAAAAATATTAACATGATTAAGAGATGATACAACATTATTTTATAAAACTTTCAACTTTTTTGTTGAACCACTTGCGCTAGAAGCGGAAAGAATCTGATATTCATTATCATCCGAAGAACTAGACTTACCATGTCAACTAAACTGATGAAGAAAGAACAAGTTCAGTTTTTTCTATCAATTTGGCTTTATTGCTTTGACTACTCATTTCCATTTTGGTATCTCGAACTTGTTTCCGTGCTTCCCTGGCTGTTAAATTACGATTTATTCCAACAATACTACACCTTAATCATCTTGCTGTTGGCGTAAGAATGCTTTATCTTCACTGTATTTTATAACTTCTTATACTTTTTGGTTGATATATCAAAAAGTTCTTCAAGGTCTTGAAAATTTTTTCAGTTGCGGATTATTGTTATTTAGCAGATTCTTAGCAAATTTTTTAACTTTCCGTTTTATGAATTCTTTGAGTTTTTATTCTTCCTCTACTCCATATAACATAAATTGCATTGATTGTTGACTGAATACATTTTTTCACTTCTTGCTTCTCTTCTAAATGGTGGAAAAGTGACCTTAAAAACACATCTTCTCTTTAAGGAAGCCTGGCAGTTGACAGAATTTGTTTAGGTTTACCAACCAGCCACACTTCAGCAGAAGATTTAGTAGTGGCCATATTATTAATTTCTAAATTAAACAGAAAGTAAGATGTTAACATTATACAAATTATAATGTAAATAAGGTTTAATGGTATTAGAGAAATTGATGTAAATAAGGTTTAATGGTATTTGAGAAATTTAATGGTATTAGAGAAACTTGTTTAGGGAATAATAAGCATGATTGTATATAATATGTATTGTAAAAATTAGATTTTACAAGTTTAAAAATATACAAACAATATTATCTGTTCATTATTACTAATTTTTATTCATTATTAGTAAATTAGTGTAATAATATTCTTGCAATATATTTACTAACATTTGATTAATTTATTTTATAAAACATGGCAAACCCTTAAGTTTGTTTCTATTAGTCTAATTTATGGTACATAAGATCTTAGGTGATAAATAAACAGGCGACCTTGAGGAGAATGCTTTTTGTGACAATGTTAACATTTATTACAACGTAAACCACCCGATATATATATATATATATATATATATATATATATATATATATATATATATATATATATATATATATATACACATATTTATATTAATGAAAAGTAAACAATATCAATCAATTGAAAAGGTTATAATATAAGGTTGTTAAAAATAAAAAATATATGTATGTATGTATGTATATATATATATATATATATATATATATATATATATATATATATATATATATATATATATATATATATATATATATATATATATATATATATATATACATATATATATATATATATATATATATATATATATATATATATATATATATATATATATATATATATATATATATATATATATATATTAATGAAAAGTAAACAATATTAATCAATTGAAAAGGTTATAATATAGGTTGTTAAAATAAAAATAAAAAAGTTTCTGTAAAACTTGGTTTTACAATTTTTATAATTTTACAATTAAAAAGTTGTTCAAATTAGTACCTTTTCCATATTTTTATATATTTTTAGCAAATTAAGTATCTGCTAACTACCCTGAGAAGTTTGGTTGCGATCATAGGCAATCTCGAACGCCACCCTGATAATTGTGGCGGCGATTATTTGTAATCTTCAGCGCTAATTAACTACCCTAAGAAGTAAGGTTGCGATCAATTTCGTTCTTAAGCGCAAACTAACCACCCTAAGAAGTGTGGCTGACATTATCCGTGATCTTCTTACTAAATTTTTTTCAAAAATGATGATCTTTTAAACAAAAATTTTTGTCCTTTAGAGGTCAGTATACAACATTGACACAGTTGCATAGTTACGTTTGTTACGAAAACGTTTGCAAAACATTTTTTAAAGATCTCAAACATTCTTTGCCCACTAAAAATAAATATAACAATAAAAAAATGTAATAAAATTTAATATTTAGCTTTTCATAAAAGCTAAGCTTTGAAAAGAGACCATTTTTTTATACTAATGACGATTTAATAGTTTATGCTAATGATCAACTGTTTACTAAATCTATCACACAAAAACATATATAGTTTTGAAGTTTTTATTTAATTATTAACAACGTTTGGCATAATACCAGCATTTTTGTAAAGAAAAAATACTCTAATGTTTTATTTCATTCATTTATCAACCACCCTAATAAAGTCTAACACAGCATTAACAAATTCTTAAAAATGAACAATAGCTATACATAACAAACATCTTTTATATCAAAAATATTTGCAGTATGAATTATAGCAAGGCCTAGCGTATTAAAATAATTAAGTGGAGTCGAATAAAATGGCTTGGCTTGCTTTATTTTTCCGGACTTTGTTTGTTATTCAAATTTTGAAAAGTTATCTGAACTTTGAGAAAAGCAATAAAATGTTAGAATTATTTTGTTACCTTTTTTTTGTGTTAAATTTATTACAAAACTCTTTCAAAAAATAGAATATTTTGTATATTCGCATTCAAAAAAAAGATTGTTTTTTTAGTTAGATGTTTTTTAGTTAAATGTCTACATGAAATGTCTTTTGTCGGCAAATATTCGTCAACCAGTACGTTTTGTGCCCAGTAGTTCTGGTGAACAGAATTACAATCTTTTAATATATATTAAAGTAATCAGTAGGTCTTTTTAAAAGAAATTTTTATGTAGTAACGTTTTAAACTGAAACATCGGAAAACATATTTTGAGACTTAATGGATTTTGAAAGAACAAGCGATGATCCGATAATAAAAAAGGCAAATTTTTTTTATTGTTTTTTTATTGCGTAAATTACGATAAATTACAGTATTCTATAATAAATTACGACGTATTCCGACAAATTACACAAAGTTTTCTGAAACACATAAGATTTAAAATATTTTTGAGATAATGTTAATTAATACTGATAGACATATTTTGAGAAAACGTTCTTTTAAGCCTGAGAACAATAGTTTCGTTGTTTTTTATTACTTTTCCTTCAAGTTTTTAATAAAATTCTTTAATAAAATGTTAATTGAGTTTAAAGCAACCAAATTAAACATTATGGATTCCAATATTACCGGATTTAGGCCTTAAGTTTTCGGATTATGTTATAAGTAGACTTTAGAAATAAGGTGCCAAACTGACTTTTTGCTTTGAAGTTTGTGGGTGAAGTTTCATTTGTAACGTTTTATTTAAAGGAGTTATTTTTTAAGCCAACTTTTATTATCAAAAAACACAATTAAAAACACACACAAAAAAAGTACAATAAAAAAAGACTAATTCTGATCATTAATTTGTTATTAAAATTTTTAAATTCTTTATGTATATAGCTGCTTGACTTTTTTAAAGACACAATTTGTTAATGGTGAAAACATTGGAAATCAGATCAAATAAAAAGTTAAATAACATGGTATTGTAAAAATATGTTATTATTTTTATCATTATATAAACTTTTTTTATCTTTTTAAGATTTTTGGGGCCGAAATAACAGTTTGTTTTAAAATTACTAATGATTTACAATAGATAAAAAAGTATAGAAACAGACATTTTATTTTGTGCTTCTTTATATTTTCCAGAAGTATAAAATATATTTTAATATACCAGAAGTATATTAAAATAAGTTGATTTATTAAAAATATTTCAATACTTTTTATGATAACTATTTAATGTATTGTCTGTTTTAAATGTGTTTAAAAAGAGTTTTAATTTAACACTGTTTTCATGTTATAATAGTGCAACACGACCATGTCTTATTAAATTTAATTTTGGTTTTTTTTTTTTTAAGAATATTATGTTTCCGTAACGTATTTACGTTTCTATGTAATATAACTTTAAATCTTTTGTAATTATTTTAATAAGACCTTGACTTTAGACGCTTATTTTGTTTTTATGGTGCGAAATAATGAAACTTAGTCTCTTTTATTCTATCTTTATCGTGTAAAAAATGTCGCCTTTGTTCCGTTTTTGTTATGTGAGAATTGTTTTGTTTTGATTTACATTTATTAATTAAAATTTTAATAAAGTTCAAGAAATTAGTTTTTCCGTAAGGTATATAAAATATAAGATTATTTTTCGAAATTTGTTAACATAATAATCTAAAATAATAAAATGATACATTTGTACTTAATTTTTATTTAGTTCTTATTTGCTGTTATTATTGTTATTAATACTACTATTTTTTTAATTTTTTTTGTTATTTTTGTTATTATTATCATTAGTATTATAACAAATATTAAGTTTAAGTTTCTATATTCAGTAATTAAATGTCAAATACGTTACAAGGCTTTTGAAAAACATATTTTAGAAAAAAAAATTGTCTTGAAATTATCGAATTCTATTAATAAATCTACTCTATGCTCAGGATACTCTGTGTACTCGGTTAACTATTTATGTTGTTATCTAATGCTTTTATGCTTTTCTGGTAAGAATATCATTGAAAGTAATTGTTGACAATGCGTTTACAGCTTCAAACGGCCAAGCACTCCAATCATTTCCAACACGGTTTGTGTAGTTATGGAATCGTTCATCACAGTTCGACACATTCTGCTTTTTTCAACCTCTGTTTTTAAACAACGTTTTGAGCTTTCCGAGCTTTATGTTACCTTTTAACCCTGTCAAATCAATCTGTTATTTGACTTTGAGGTTGTCTTAAACAAGCTCGACAATGTCACGTGGTCAGACATAGTGATTTGTAGTTGATTGTTATCTTCATTGTCTATTGTGTATTTTTCGGGATTTGTTTCTTTTTTGCTTACACTCATCACTTTACTCTTGCCTGTGCTTAATAGCATGAGTCATTTTTTTGACCAGCCTACTGCTTTGTTGACATCATTTTGCAAAAAACAGCATTTCGCTCGATTTTATAACTTCCATAAATTTACAATCATCTGTGTATATTATATAATGGTTAGTAATATTATCAGGGAGATTGTTAATAAAGAGGACAAGAACTAGTTTGCCAAGAACTAGAGCTTGAGATACCCTACTTGCAACACTCTTTCATTCAGATTCATGATAATCAACTACCATTCACTGCTGTCTATTGGTTAGCCATTGTTTGATCGAATTATTTAACTATCAACCAATGCCATATGCTTTGAGTTTATACAAGAATCGACAATGTGATAGGGTAGGGTGGGGTAATGTCATTCTAATGGGTAATGTGAGTCTAATCAACATTTATCAATTTTTCAGAAGAAAAGTTTTAGGTAGAAACCTTTTTTTCTTTATGTAATAGATGGTTAAAACAGCTCTCTAAATTTCAATTATCAACTTACTATAGTAAACTGAATCACCAGCTTCATCGTCATCAGCTTCATCTTCATCATCTACATCGTCATCATTCATCTTCATCATTAACATTCAGAATCATCAGCATAATAACCAGCTTTCTATAGTAAGCTTACTATAGTAAGCTGAATTCAGCTTACTTATCAAAAGTATACTTAAGATATTGAAAACATATTTAAGAACTTGCCTACAGGCAAATTTTTAAATATGTTTTTTATTCAAAACGGCGAATTGTCTGAAAATGGCAAAACTATTTATGGGTTAAATTTAGAGGTTTTGGGGCTATGGATTTCAATTTTTAGTTTCATTTTAATTTTGGAGCTGTCGTGACCACACAAGTGGTTATTTTTGGGATTGTCAAGTATGTTCATAAGGTTTCTCGATGGTTTTTAAATTAAATGGGACATGTTGTGTATCTAAATATAGGTAAGGCTGTCAGGGAATTCAAATCTGGGCATATTCGGTCTTTAGAAGTGGTCATGACCGCTCAGATGGTCATTATAGTAATATTCAAGGGTTGTCCTGAGATGTCTTGATGTTTTTCAATTAGATGGGACATGTTGTATGTCTAAATATAGGTAATTGTGGTCAGGGAATTTGAAACTGGGAACATTCTGTCTTTAAAAGTGGTCTTGACCGCTCAGGTGATCATTTTAGGTATGGTCAAGGGGGTCCTCGAACATCCCGATGGTTTTTCAACTAGAGAGTACATGTTGTATGTCTAAAGGTAACTGATATCAGGAAAATTAAATCTGGCCATATTTGGTCTCAAGGAGTGGTTATAATTGCACAGGTAGGTGTGATCATGGGTTAACAAGATATTTTTGTGATTTTTATTTGAGCAGCCGTGGCGCAGTGGTTAGAGTTCTGGCTTAGAACCCAGAGGTTCGAGGTTCAACGCTAGCTCTAGCCCAACAAGCGACATTGGTACAGAAGGAGGCGTGAACTTCTTGTTAAATGCTCTACCGCGGTGCTCTATGATAAGACCGTAAGGAATTCTGTGAGCACCTAAATACATACAAAAAAAAAAAAAAAAAAATTATGTACTTTTTTTCGTACTTAATTTCTTTGATATTGTGAATATAAACAAATACCGTTCAATAAAGTTGGACTTATTTAAATATTACATATTTAAATGAACAAAACACATTTGACACATTTAAAGTACAAATTTTAAGATGAAAACGGCATTTTCGCGAGATTTTCTTACGAGATTTAAAAACAAACTTTACTAAATTAAACTCTTCTTTTTTCACAGATAAAAACCTTTAGCATACATAAATACAAATAATAAATATTCTCTCCAGAGATGGATCCAGCATTTTTTTGATAAAGCAAACTCCAAACATTTTTATGTTTATACTTATGTCAAATAATGATGCTTTGCAAAATATTGCGATGATTGGAGGCTGGGAACAAATAAGCCCCAAAATTTCGTCACCAACACCATCTACCCCAAATCTGAGGGCAACAAATTGATGAAATTTTTTTGTACTTTTCTCAACTAAACTTATATTCGTAAATAAGTTTTAAGTTTCATAGAATTATCTCACAGCATTCAAAAATTATTACCCTCCCTCTATTTGAGGGGATTACAAATTTTATATGGTCATAATTTTTGAACATTGAGTGATAATTCTATGAAATTTAAAATTTATGGATGAATATAAGTCTGTTTGAGAACAGTACAAAAAATATTTTATCAACTTGTCGCCCTCACGTTTGGGGTGATGGAGGGATAAAATTTTGAATGAAATTTCAATAGTTTTTGTACTTTATTTACATGTTTGAAATACTAAGCTCAAAAATCACAGTAGAGAAAAAATTGTTACAGTTTTAGTGCTGGGAGTCTTTAGACTACATTTACAAACAGAAATTAGTCCAATATAAAAGTTGGTTTTAAAGGGTTTTGCTCACCTTTTAGAAATTTTAATAGAAATTCTTTTTATCGAAAACCTTAAACTTCAGAAAAAATGTATAAAAAATTTTAAAACATAGAAAAATTACCAGATAATTAGGTTCAATTACTTTAAAGACGGAACGATGCATAGTTTTTTTGAAATAACAAACAATTTTGGTTTGGGCGATGTGTATATAAACAGAACCGTCAATGTGTTTGGTGCCGTTTAAAATTTAATTTTTATACAACAATAAATACCTTTAAAATGGAAATTATTATAGATTAGAAGTCTAACTATGTTTCTGGATTTTTTTTTTGGAGCCATGTTGCTACGGATTTCTTTGTATCATTATTTAAGAAGTAATGACGTTATGTTTTTAATTAAAACTAGTATGCAACGCAACGTACAAGTTTTGATAAATTGCACATTGAATTTTTATTATACAAAAATCGCTTTTTGTAGGATAATAAACTCCTAAAATTTAACACAAAAAACTTTGGATATTTTTCAATTAAGCTTTCGCTTTCTAATTCTTCCTTAAACATAATTTCATCATGCTTTGACTTTAAGTACATCATGCTTTGACTTTAAGTACTTCGATTTTTAAATTTAAATATCATATATTCTAGTGGGAGAATTTGGATGAGAAAGTGGGAGAAAATGATCTATTCTATATTAAATCCATTTATTTAACCAAAAATTGAAAATTACAAATTTTTATAACTTTACAAAATTAGGTTAGGTGTCACTCGTATAGTTAAAAACTAGTCATTGGAGTGATACCTAAATAAAATTAACAAACAAACAAAAAGTTCAACAACAATATTAATAAATAAAAGCAAGCTTAAATTAAATTAATTAAAAAAAAAATGCTCTTAATAATAACAATTATAAGCACTTAATTAATAACAACAATAAAAATAATTAGCAACAATACCACAAATAATAACAAACTTTACGCAAACGAAAAGGCAAGCACAAACACTAAAAAACAAAAAAAAAAATAACGTAATATATATTTAAAATATTCGTAAAAAAAAAAAAAAAATATTGAAATTGAACTCCAAGAAGGCTCTGCATTTGTTGGAAACTAGCTAACAGAGATAGTAAAAATATTTATTTTGCATTTCTAATTTAGCGCTTTAAACGAGTAAAGTTCTTTTGCGTTTAAATCATCTGTTAAAGTACTATTATGTTGAAACTTTTGATAAAATAATTCAAATATAATACACACTTAATGACTTCACTCATATTTTACTATAAGTTGGTATATTTCATTGAAAAAAGATAAAATTGTAACCTATATCCATATTACCCCACTAAAGGGGTAATGTGGGTCTATGGAATACAACTCAAATGAGTACTCCTTAAACAACTTTAAAAGTTATGTAATTAAAAAAACTTTTTTTGAATTGGCAATAACAAGTATTATAAATTTAATTAAATAAGTTAAACTATAAATTGCTCAAACAATAAAATGTGTTTTATATAAAATCATATCTTCATACCGATTCTTAAATGTTATTTTTTCCATTTTAATATTTTATTAAATTTTGTTTCTTTTATTTTACAAAATAATTCTTACAAAAAAGCGATATATTAACATTTTCTTTTATATTATTAATTCAGAAACATATACATTGGGACTATATTTTATTGTTAAACAATATTTTATCTTTATATTGAGGCATTTTTTGGGGATTAAATATAAGACTAAATTTGTCTTCTTCTAGTTCCGGTCATATAATTATTTTTTATAAGTTACGACACGCAATTGCGCATAAATTTAGAACTCTGAATCTCTTTCTATTTTTAATAATATTATTATTATTATTTTTATATTTGTAAAGTTCCAAGGAAAAAAATTCTATAGATTTTTTATAAACTTTTGAAAGAATTGGTCTATAGTAATACTAATAGAATTTCTATAGAATAAATGTTTATAGAAACTGTATTAAAATTAGTTTTTATAAAATTTGCAATAAAAAATTTTTATTTTTTTATAAATATATTACAAGAAAAGTCTAATATATAATGAGACTTTTATTACGAGCAATCGAAATTATTAGAGTTTGTATATTTTTTTATTGAAATTAATGGAGTTTCAATAGAAACATTATTAAATTTTCTATAAACCATATGCTTCAAAAGTTTGTAGATTTTTCCAAGAACTTTTTCTGAATTATTATTATCATTATTTAATAAAATTCGAAGTTTAATAGACCCCAGTAATGCAACACGTTGGGCCAATGTTGGGATAACGTGAGCTCAACAATTCCGGCGAGATTTCTGACCTAGGTTCAACAGAGTGTGCTGCTTGGGAAGCTATTAAACCGGATGTTGAAACTTTTAAAAACAAATGCCCGTAGGGAGTATAAACATACTCTATGCCTGTAATTTAGCTTCCTTAAACAAACAAAAAAATGCTGGATCTGAGTTTAAGTGGCATGTTAAACTTTGATGTGAGATTTTCTTCTAAATTCTTGAAATTTTTCAATGCTCATTTGTTAATTTTTTAACTATCTGCAAAACATTGGTTATATGAAAAAGTTCTACTAAAGGCTTTTAACAGAGAAAAATGTCTTGAATTTATTTTCTAAAATAAATTATTTGCAATACGCTTTTTTGAGTACCCTCCACCTCCCTAAAAGAATCTACGCTTTTAACCTATTTATCTAACATTTTATGATATTTTTTAAATTTAGTATCTCCTTTCTTTTATAGTTGACCCACTGCCCTCCCATCTCATGTACGCCATTTTCAGACCCCTCTTTCCCTCCAAGCGTACATACTTTATGGACGATCCCTTACCCCGTCAGAGCACTATGTTGTAAATTGCAAAAAAAAATAAAATGAGGGGAGGGGGTAATGTAAATAAAATTTTTTTTGTTGCGATTGCAGTGAGAAACTCGTATCTAAGTTTTACTTGATTTAATGCAAACCCAATTCAAAGTTAAATTTAATTTTCCATAAGACTGTTTTTTAGTTTTTTAACGGGTTTAAACTCCTGCCCCATGCATGTTTAAATCCGTCACTACTTTTAGCTTATATTTTTGTTGTTATGTTCCTCTTAATCAATGTAGCAAATACCAGTTTTAATTGTTATTTCTTCCTTTGCATGCTGGCTAAGACTCTGAGATCACAAACTTGCTTAATCGAGTAAACTAACTTAGTGCAATTTTGAATCCATTAGGCGTAATTTGTAAACAATCCAACCAACCTAATAAGTTTATGCAAGCTTCGTGGCCTTATTAATTTTTCAAGATTAACTAGAGATTCTTAGGGTTAGATTTTATGATCAACAATATTGCCTAACCATTTGATATCAGTTTTTTTAAGGTTACTCTTTTCCATGTTTTATCTATATTGGCCGTTTTATCTGCGTGAGGTTTTAAAGTAGAATTTAAATGTCACGTGCTTTTATTACTGGTTTGACATTCTTTACAATAACTTAATATAATGTTATATTACGTTACCATAACGATGAAACCATTAATATCCTTAATGGTGTTTGGTAAATAGTATTAGTTAATTTCAATTGAAACCATTTTATCGATACGTGATGTTCATTTTGTTTTAGAGGATTTTATGCATGCAACAGAAACCATGGGAAACATTTTACGGAGTTGTGTTGGCTGGAATTTATGTACTCTGACAATGCGGGGAATGCTGATTTTATTTTCTAGAAGACGTTATCTCATTCGTTCAAAATTAAAGTCTGATCCTTTATGGTTTTTATTTCACATGTGTCTTTTTTTCTGCTTAAGTTTGCTGCTTTAAATTGATGGTATCTTGATTATTGTTGCATTTTCTAAACATTGCTTTAACACCCAAAACATTTCATTAACACCCAAACATTTCTTTTACACCCAAAACATATGTGATGTGGACAACGCTGCGGTAAACCAGTAAGTGAACTATATTTGCTGTTTTTCCATTGCTTTATTCAGTATTTATTAACTCATTAAAAGATTTGCCTTCTCGGAGATATTGTTATGCTTCATGTGAGCTTTTATTAACAACAGCTTGTGGTGTGATTGCATTCATAAACTTAGTAAAACAAAATAGCTCAACTTGTGACGACATGTGTCTTTCTTTTTTACGGTTTTAAAAAAAATTTAAATTGAAAGTATTTTTAATCTAAATTTAAATTTAAAATATTTTTAATTTAAGTTTAAATTAAAATCAAAAATACAACTTGATAATAAACTTTACGCAACAGCATTGATCGTGTTGGTATGATAGATGTAGCAGACATTATTGTAGACATTGGTAATTGACATTGGTATGACAATGTAGTAGACATTGTTATAACATTGTAGTAGATATTGGTCGCAGACATTGGTCCTAGGCCAATGCTGTTTCTATTTGTGGCTGTTTTGATCGTTTCTAGCCATCAAAAGCTCCCAAATAATAAGAAAATGGTTTTTATTTTTGAAATTAAGTTAGTACATCTTTGTTTATTAAATTTTTTTTCACGAATAAAGATGCTGAGGGTGTTTTCATGAAATAAGTTGCTTAACGTTTTTTCACGAAAAAAGTTGAATAGGAATTAGCTATTAGTTTTAATTTAAATTTAGATTAAAAATACTTTCAATTTAAATTTTTTTTAAAACCGTAAAAAAGAAAGACACATGTCGTCACAAGTTGAGCTATTTTTATTTACTAAGTTTATGAATGCAATTAGCTATAGTTGAATAGGAATTAGCATATAGCTAATAAAATAGATAACAAAATATTTGAGTTTTATAATTCTCGGGTAAGTAGCAGAAATTACGGGTTAATTTACGGAATTTTGTTAGTAGTTATTTATTAGTAAAAAGTTTATAAAATGGGAAAAAAATTAACTTAGTAACTTGAATTTAGTTGGACTTTAATTAACTAATTGAAATTTACATTTACATATTAAAAATTAAAAATTTAAAAATAAGATAAAAAAAAGTTCCATGTACGATTAAATAAATATAAAATTTATTATAGTAATTTTTATATTTAATAAAATAATTGTAATAAATAATTTTTATATTTGCAAATAAATTTTTTTTTTTAGTAAATGTTATTAGTTAGTTAAGTTTGTAGCTGGCTATGTAATTTTTTAGTAAATAATTATTTTTTACGGTGCTTCATCAATAAAGACTCGATTAGGATTTCTAATGGGTTTTTATAAATGAAACACCATGCGTTTTTTTCGTTCAACCGTGCTTTATAAAAAAAAAAAAAAATAAGTGAATCTGCTAAAAGTTGTTTTAAAAATAAATTTTATCTTTTTATTATAAATTAGCACTACGTGCTCTGAAGCGCATCTGACCCTTTTTTTATATAAAAAACGCAGAGTCATCTGCAATAAAAAATAATATATTTATTTTATTTTTATATTTCAGTTATTTGTGAACACGCTAAAAAAAAGTTTATTGCTTTTTTTTAAATAAAATAGTGTTATTACAAAGAAAAGTAATTAAAATCAATTTTTCATTTTCAAATAACGTTTTTTACTTTAATAATTTTTTTAGCTATCTATTAAAATATTTAAAATATTTCTATTAAAGTTATTTCTTGTTAAAGAAAGAAATCCTTCAGGAAGAAAAAAAATTGAATGAGGTATATAATGCTAATAATTCAATCATTAAAGTACATTAAAGTTTTTTTTTTCCAGCGAACGTTAAGTTCTCTTTTAAAATTTTTGATAACCTGTCTATTAAAAATACTAAAAATTATAAAACTCAATATTGAGTAACTAGGCTTTACAAAAAAAAATGTTTAGTTTATCTGGAATAAAATATTTGTCAAGCCGATAGTTGATCGGATTATTTAACACAAATTTAAAAAAAAAAAAAAGTTCATTCAGGAATTTCTTTAGTTTTAAAACAATTGAAATAATAATTGGAATCATAACCAAAATAAATGAATGTTTTTTTATACTTTAAACAATACATTTAATGGTTACCACAAGCCGAAACTTTTTTGTAGGAAATGTATTAACTATCGAAATACTTTAAAAAATACATTTAATTTAAAACACCAAATACTGAATAGAACTTATTAAGTTATTATTATATAAATTAATATTATATAAAGAACTTATTATTTATAAATATATACGTAAATATACAAAAGAATGCATTTTTTTTTTATAAAAGCATTTTATCGTTTTTCAATTCTATCAACTCTCTTTCACAAAAACTAATCATTATCTACTAGACGAGAAATTTATGTAAGGTTAACCAGAACTCAAAGTTAGGTTAACGACTACTTTGTAGAGTAAGCAAACTTTATTAATTTTTCTATCTTTTATGGTAGATATAACCAATTTTCAACTTTTTTTGATGTACACTAGTACATCAAAAAAAAGTTGAAAATTTAAAGGTTTATTATGTAAATATATTACTATAATATATTGCTTAAATGCAAATATATAGCTGTTTATATCATATATAAATATATGTTTAATATAGGTTTTACGTTGAATTTGTTAAAAATTTAGAAACTTTTAAATTAAAGTGCTTATGCGTTTATTTCAAAGTTTTCATAAAAATATAAATAACGCATAACTATAAACTAAACTTTTGACGCATATCTGACGGTTTTTTTGTCAACTTTGACGCAAATCTATGAGCAAAATAAACATTTAATAATTAGGGTAGATCAAAAATATGTAATAGTTAGGGTGTATCAAAAATATATGGTAGTTAGGGTGTATCAAAAAAAAATTAATTTTATAAAAACTTCCTTGCGTGAGCTCTATATTTGTTCTGTATAAAAAAGATTATTTTTAGAAAAAGATCAACTTTGTGCTCAAAAAAAGCAAAACTATATAAAAATAATATTTGTTATATAAAAGACATGTATATCATTAATTGTTTGGTTTGTTTTTCAAGGTTATTGATGATGTTTAGAATATTGATAGTTATTGGGACTGCTTTGTCTATTGGAATGGAGGGATATAACACACACACACACACACACACACACACACACACACACACACACACACACACGCACAATAATAAATATTGCTTTTAGGTTTTATTTTTTTATAAAAATAAAATCTAAAAAACGATATTTTTTATGAAAATAAAATCTAAAATAATTTTATATGAAAAATTATCATTTTAAAACTTCCAATTATGATACTGTTTTAAACTTATATAATCTAACCTAAAAATAAACTTTATATGAAGTTTAAAACCTTAATCTTAAATCTATGCCTAGCAAATTAGCAACCTCAAATGTCTAAATGGCATCTTTTAAAGTAGTTAAAATGAAACTTTTTTCGTAACTTGAAGATAATTTTAAGTATGTAGAAATTAAAAACTTGTTTGCAGTTGAAAAAATTATTAAAAATTTATTTTGCGCAACCCTAGAAACCTTTTTCTTTAACAGGGGAGGGTGGGAAGTAATATTTAGTTAAATATCATAACAATAAAACTAGTAAAATTATTATATATATATATATATATATATATATATATATATATATATATATATATATATATATATATATATATATATATATATATATATATATATATATATATATATATATATATATATATATATATCGTCGCATGAGAATTATCGTATTTTATATGCTTATTTTCACGTTGTGAGAATTTAACTGTTGTTATTTTATTGTTAAAATATTTTACAACTATAATTCTTAAAAATTTAAATTATTTTAATTTTGCGTCGTTTATCGACATAGCCGACGACACGGGTTTCGAAGTGAAGGGATACAAACGTCAATTTCTAAAAAAGTCCTTTATATCTAGAATTTTCTAAAAAAAAAAGTGTATTTATTTTTAGCGTATCTAGTTTATTTATTTTTAGCTTATCTTTTTCATTATAAAAAATTTTATTAGTCATTTATAAACATTTTACATCGTTCTTGTTTTACAATTTTCATCAATAAAATTTAAATAAAAATTAGCAACGACAGGAGCAGATAGAAGTAGTAGAAGACAGAAGTCTTGTCATCAAGCCCCTATAGTTAGCGTAAAGTATTTTTTACAAATTTCTCATTATATAAATTTACAAATACTCGTTATATGAAATTATTCTTAAATTTAAATAAAACTAAGGATACTTTTTTTCATAGATTTCACGATAAAGAAAATACTCCATTAAAACTTCCTGATCTTTACATTGGCAACTCTAAAATAATTAGAGAGTCATCATTAAAGTTTTTAGGAGTGATACTTGACGAAAACATGACTTAGAGAGGACACATAAAAACAATTGAAAATAAAACTTCAAAAAATATTGGCATACTATACAAAGCTAAGCAAATCTTAAACCAAAACTGCTCCAAAATCTTATATTTCTCCCTCATACATTGTTATATAAATTATGCAAATATTGCATGGTGCAGCTCTAATGTAAGTAAAGTTAAAAAATTGCTTAGTAGACAAAAACACGCTGTCAGGATTATTTCAAATGCAGGTCGATTCGCACATTCTAAAGAACTATTCAAAAATCATCACATACTCAATGTTCTTCAGTTAAATCTTTATCAAATTCTTATATTTATGTACAAACTACATAATAAATTAATTCCTATTATTTTTAATACATTTTTCAATAAAACTAATCACGTGTACCCTACAAGATTTTCAAATTACAATTACGAGCAACCTAAAATACACTATTTGGCGACTAAATTTTCTGTTGCTATCAGAGGTCCTAAATTATGGAACACTTTATTGAATAACCAGCTGAAAAATTGTTCTTCACTTTCTCTATTTAAACAAAAACTCAAACAAAAACTTCTTAACGATGTTAATGAATTAAATTCTTTTTAAGATTCTTTTATCTTTTTTAACAACTATTTTATTAACTAGTCTAACCAACTTAAATTTTCTTTAAATTATCCTATTAACTTATCTTCAGTTTTTAGGTGTGATTGCTTTTT